CAGTGTGTCCTCTCTAACTTTACCTCCCAGTTGTTCAACCTGTGCTGTACCTCTGATGATCTCATTCCTGATCTTCTCCATCCTTGTCACTCCTAAGGAGAACCTCAACATCTTCATTTCTGCCACTTCCAGTTCTGTCTCCTGTCTTTTTGTCCATGTCTCTGTCTCCAGACCATACAACATAGCTGGTCTCACCTTTGACCTTTGCTGACACCCGTTTGTCACAAATCACTCCTGAAACTTTCCTCCATCCACTCCATCCTGCCTGGACTCTCTTCTTCACCTCTTTACCACACTCCCCATTCCCCTGGACAGTGGTCCCCAAGTCCTTGAAGTCCTGCACCTTTGTGACCTCTGCTCCTTGTAGCCTCACTGTTCCACCTCCTCCCTCTCATTCACACATGGACTCTGTCGTACTACGGCTGACTTTCATTCCCCTTCTTTCAAGTGCATACCTCCACCTCTCCAAGTTCTCTTCCACCTGTTCCCTGTGCTCACCACAGATCACAATGTCATCTGCAAACATCATCGTCCACAGGGATTCCTGCCTGACCTCATCTGTTAGTCGAGCAAACAAGAAGGGGCTCAGAGCCGATCCTTGATGCACTCCCACCTCCACCTTTACGCCGTCACTCCTACAGCACATCTCACCACTGTCCTGCTGTCCTCATACATGTCCCGCTGTCCTCATACATGTCCCGCTGTCCTCATACATGTCCTGTACCAGTCTAACATATTTCTCTGCCACTCCAGATTTCCTCATGCCAACATAGCTCAACGTAACTGAAACGGTCTAATGGAATCTGTGAAACTGTTTTTCGTTGCAGATAAAGGTGAACTCTACAGAAGTAACAAGGATAAAGCACAAAACCAAAATATAATCCAGGTTCTTATTCTTCAGTATGGAGTCATCTCTCTTTCTCACCACAAAAGGATCTGGTATCTGAACGTGTTCATTTGTCTGTTAATAAAAAAATCTCAAAAACCAGTGGCAGAAGAAGTCAAAACTTTAAAATTTGAGGTCACTTTAAATCAAATGGTCACCACAGCTAACCGACCTTAGCGTCACAGAAATGTCTGACAGTTTTAGAGATACTGATCTGAAACATGATGTGGTAGTAGCTGAAAGTCGTCTGCATCACGTACCCTCGAGGCCAAACAGATGACAGAAGATCTTAAAACCTTTGACATGCTGGGCAATAAGCATTCCTTCAAGGAATAGCACTTTAATCTCTTTAATCTACTTTTATTCTGAACCATTCTGGCCTTGGTTGTCCTCAGGATGAAAAAAAAAGAGTAGCAAGGTGACCAGCATAAAACATTTGATTGTTATGCATGAAGATTGACTGTTTTGGACGGATGGGCTCCGTTTGCATGTGTTAGTCTATAATCTGAGATTCCAACGGGTCGGCTTGAAACACAGCAGTGAAGGCTACAACTATGGGACAGATGTGGTTGGCCACAGACTGAGGGAGTCCACCGGAAGGGAGACGAAACATTTGTCACTTAAAGAAACTGCTCCAGATGACACGATTTAACCTTTTTGTTGTTACTTCATTATATTCTGATTTCAATGAACCGGGATTCCCTTCAGTCTTTTGATTGAGCAGCAAATTTCAGGTTTTCTAAAGGCTGTTCAAATTTTTCTTTGACTTTGTGTGATTTACAAATGATTTTGATCTTTCTACACAGTTTTAACATAAACTAGCATTGCTTGAAGGAATGAATATCTCCCGCCGCTTTCCATACCCAAGATTTAAAGAAACGTCTCGTGTGACCTAAAAGAGCTCAGAGTGCGTGATGGAGCCGAGTCCCAGCTACTACCACTCCAGAGTTGAGCTCATCGTCTCGAGTGACGTTTCATTGTACTATGATCGAGCTTTGGTCATCGTTAGGACTACTGGTCCTGACGAGGTAGGTGATTATACCAGGAAAGGTACTACAATGGTGTCAACACACGAAACTCTATTTTTAGAGGTCAAATCAAAACTGAAATATTTGACTTGACGTCCAGCTGTTTTATTTCTCAATCACTTTCCGTTTCACTTTGAAACATTTTGCAGGACGGCGACTGATTTTTTTATTCACTTTTAATCCCTTCTTACATGGACACAAACTTCCTGCCCTTCAATAAGCTGTTCCTCGGGCTCGGCCAGTCATATTCTGACACCTGACTCTCTCTTTCACGTGGTTGAATTTACTCCGGATCACTGACGCACCTGCTTTCAGCACAAAGCCGTCTGAGTCGAGGCTACCGTGATAAAAACACATTTCTTCTCATGGCAGAGCAGGAGAGCATCCGGCTCGTTGTGTGTGCAGTGTACGGCCGAGCCCAGACTGCGTTCATCATGTTACATAACAATACTTTACAGCAACTCACCCCACGGCCACTCTGCTCCACTGTCGTGTCGGTAAAGTTATCAGAGCCTCCCAGGCGGCACAGATGGTCTGCTCCAGGCCGGTCTGGCTCTGAGAGGACGTCTGGAAGTCTGGCAGGCCAATGTAGTGTAGAATCTGCTCCGGCAGGTCCGGTCTGCTGTTGTAGAACAGACCGACAGCCAACGCCAGCAGGACCGCTGCTGATGCCTTCTTCCACATGATGCTCCCCCACACACCTGCATCCAAGCAAATAAGACACTCTCATTTCCATACAGGCCATTAGAATAACACTTAGGTGCATCAGTGTACACTGGGGTGTTGTGTGTTGCAACATTAATTGTAGCTGCTGTTCAACAGAATTGGACAAAAATATATTAATAAGTTATTTGCAGTACAGACGGCCAACCCAGCTATGCTGTCAAACTCTGCTAATAATGTAAAAAGTATAAAGTTTACAAACAAAAATAATCACCGAAGTTACAATCAGCTGTTTAAGTGACTTTTAATAAAACTTATTTAATCATTACCCTCTTTGTTCACATGTGAAATCAAACCAATGTAACTCAATCTAAAATATTTTCATGCATCTTTAATTGTAATTAAAGACAATTAATTAAACCGTGACCTGACTGAACATTGTTTGGGTTTTAATTGTAATAAAATAAAAAAAACATATATTTCTACATAACATAAACTGTGTTAGCCTTTATATGGAATAATATATGTCTGAACTCTGATCAAGAAGCTCACAGGTCCATTTACAATAAATTGTGTTTAGATTATATGATACAACGGCCTGCCATACCACAGTATGGCACCGTTTACGCCGGTGCAGTTTCTGCTAACGTGGACACATTGAACTCGTCGGCTAACAGGCTAGCTCCAGCTCATCTTTCAGTCCATTTCGCGACGCAACACCGACACGACAGCAGCTCTGGCCAGCACGGCTTACAAGTGACCCGGTTCGGAAGCGAACCTGGCAGGCAGTCACTTCCTGAAACTCCTCCGCTGAACACCAGCGTTGCTACAACTTCAATGAGCTAAGCTTAGTTTGTTGTTAACGGAACGTACCGATGGTTACAGTAAGGTGCAGGCAGCAGGTCTGTTAGGTTACAGGATCCGGTGGTGACTCACATGAAGAGCATTTATTCCGCTGAAACCCGCGGTGGATAAGCTAGCTAGCTGAAGAACCGACAGTCGCTAAAACTCATTGAAGAAACGTTAGAACGACAGAGCTCAGCAGCGCCTTCACCGCCCCGCGCATGCGCCGTTCATGGCATAGTGCTGCATTCAAGTAACGTCGGTAATTGAACACAAACTGGGAATCTACAGCAATTTCAACACGGAAGTAGTCGCCTTTTCGACTGATTAAACATGTTTCAACTTGTGATAATCTCATAGTCACATAAGATGAAGCTTCTGAGCGAAATGTTTTCTAATAAAATGCTTTGAAAAGTGTATGATTGGGCTTTAACAGAAAGACGCGAACGTTGCACCACTTGTATGTGGCGATCGTTCAACCTTTATTTAGACAGGTTAATCCCAGAGACCTGATTTTAACAAAGAATGATGACAACAATGGACAATCATAAAAAGGCGTACAGATTTTATTTTTTAACAAATTAAAATAAGATGGCAAAAAAAGTAGCAAAAACAGCCGGATTATAAGGCGAATGTAGAAAACTAAAAACAGGAACATGTCTGCATTGGTCCCTGCCAGGAGTCCAACAGATTCTTAAAGACACTTAGAGAGGTCGAGAGCTTTAGTTTTTTTTGCAAGATATTCCAGGAAACAGGAGCAGAGTAGGAGAAGGCCCTTTTGCCATGTTCAGTCCTCACTGAGGGAACACTGCAGGTAATAATGTCCTGAGAGCGCACGCCGTAGCTGCACTCACGCAAAGACATGTAGGAGATGTATGAAGGCAGCAGACCAAGAAGTGATTTAAAGATGAAAATGTACCAGTGAGAGAGTCTGCGTGAAGTTAACGATGTCCAGTTGACCAGTGAATACTGGGTGCAGTGGTGGGTACGACAATCACAGCCAGTTATGAATCATCACCCATGATGCTTTGCATGAATCATCGGCGCGACTTTCGGCGAGAACCGGAAACTGCGTTTGTTTATTTGCGAACATTGCCAGCTAAATTTATCCGAGCATTGTGGATTTAATTTCAACATGTGGGAACATCGCCTGTGAGAGCTCCAACAGGACAATATAATCGTATCGCTGCCTGCTGAGGACGAGGGATGGAGGACGACCCGAAGAAGTGGCCGCAGATTACGTACACTAGGCTAGCATGTTTAGCTACTTCGTTGACTCAGTTGCCTCTGACGGTGAAGCGACGAACAAGCTGAAAATCTCTGAGGCGTATCTGTATTTACACAGGTCGGTGGTGTTTTGTTAAAAGAGGTGGGACACGATCTTGTTTACCTGAAAACAGACTCTGAGCCCAGCCAAAGCTTTAAATTAAACTTAAAGTCCTCCACCGAGCCTGGGTGTTAGTTTCAACGTCAGGTGAAGAACAAACTGCAGGTTGTTCATGTATTGCAGGTTTTGCAGGCACACTTTTGCAATACTGTGGAAGGTAAATGCTGATAATCCTTTTATTTTTGTTAATTACTTTAATTGCATTTTGCAGTGATAGTGTGCTCCTACTGTTTTTTTTTTTTTATGTGGACTTTATTTTCACATCAGGTTGGGAACGCAGTCAGACAAGGAAAGACATCAGATCCCACAAGTGTGTCAGCAGCAGGAGCCACCCCCCAAGTTTTTCAAAGATCATAAAGATTTTAAAAGTTATGTCAGTTCCTCGGTGATGCCCGGTGCTACAGAGTGCACCGAGTTAATTGGTGCCGTCGGTGAAAGAGTCTTGTACACCTTCTGACACCTTGTTACACGCTCATCATGAACGCGGGCGCGAGCACTGCGGCGTGTGCAAGTGACCTCGTCTCTGGTCAGCCGGCATCCTTTACGTGTGCATGCAGGAACGATTAGATTCGCTCTACGCTCCTCCCATCACCTCATCTCCAGCACGTAAATAGTCCAGAAACCCTGAGTTCTGTTATGAACCTGTCACTGCATTTGCCACCATTAGCGTCTGAAATAAACAACTCCAGAGGGAGAAAAAGCTACTAAATATTTCACAGTGTTGTTGGAGTAATAGTGACTATGATTCGCTTCTAGAAGTCTCTGCAAAACTGTCTCTGTGCAGTCAATTACTGTAATTTCTGGACCACTGAGCGCACCTGAATACAAGCCGCGCACCAGTGTTGTAATGTAACTAAGTAGAAATACTTCGTTACTGTACTTAAGTAAAATTTTGACATATTTTATTTTACTTCGTTATTTACATTTCTCGTGACTTTCACTTTTACTTCACTACATTTCCCTTAACCATCTTAGTTACTAGTTACTACAATTTAATATTAGAAGAAAAATGGGCAGTGCCCGTTTGTTCTCCCAGTCTGCGACTTCATGCGGCCGCTTCTCTCCCCCTCGGTGACACTCTCAATCACAAACCCAGCCTCTCCCGCGCCGCATGTGTGAAACCTGCAGCTCCTGCTGTGATAAAGCTAGATGTATGTGCAGATATCAATCGTTCCAATAGTTGATCGTTGACTCACAGTGGAGACACGTTCCTGATAGGTGTGAAAATGACGGTAGCTGCTAAACAGGAGAAGTTTGGTGTTCTCCAGGACATGAACTGCTTCTTCTTATATTATCCTATAATATATCCTATATTATTAATTGGTCAGAAACAAGCCATAACCAAACAGAACCTAGCGCAGTAAACAAGTCAACCACACAACAATGTGAGCTTTCTAACAGTTTTGTTAATAAAGGTTAATAAAGGTTGAATACTTCATTACAATCAGACTTTTTAAAGAGCAATCTTTCATTGTTCAAGTCAAACTTTACAAGTTTTTGTCACTAGATATTGCACCCAATAAATGTTGTTTTGGAAATTTTAACCATTTACTTTTACTTAATACTCTTACTTTAAGTATATTTTAGATGAGAAATTTACTTTTGATACTTACGTACATTAAATGTCCGATACTTCAAGACTTTCACTTACGTAATAATTTTAAACGCGACTTTAACGTTTACCAAAGTAATTTTATGGTAAAATACTTGCACTTTCACCGAAGTATCACTTTGAGGTACTTTATACAACACTGCCGCGCACGCTAAATTTAAAAAGAAAATTAAAATTTTACATAAATAGGCCACACTTGTCTATAAGCCGCGGGTGTTCACGTTGAAACATGAGATATTTACACAAAGATATATATTTCTCTGTGCAGGTTAGTCTCGTTGAGCCGTGGGGACTCAGCTGCATTAACAAAGAATCATGACAACAGTAGACAATCATAAAAGAAGACATACAAATTGGAAAAGATAAATGAAAGAAAAATGGTACTTAAACAAAAACAGCAAGATTGTAAAGTGATGTCGAAAACTTAAAACAGAAACATGTTGCATCGGTTTTTGCCAGGAACTTAGCAGATTCCAACGGTCCTGCTGATGTGACTTTGTGATGTTTTAAACCACCGTGCTAAATCAGCCATGACAAAGTTCTGTCTTAGTTTCATCAAAGTCATTAGGACTTGGTCTACAAAAGGCATTGACAATTGTAGGGGAACACCACCAACATCTGCTGAGACTTTAACTCTTATCAGAAGAAAGGAGTATTACTCCCAGGATGGGTTCCCATGAAGATACATTTTAAAGAACCCTTTGTTTAAATGACATTTTCTTTTCAGGAGATGGACGGCGACACCTTTTGGAGAAACATCGCCTGCTATTAACCCCCAAATGTAATTTTCTGTTTATTTTCAGAACTGAATGTTTATTTATGAAAATGCCTGTTTAAGTAATCTCTCGTTAAGATAATCAATTGTCTTGTTTTTCTCTTTTTAGAAGAAGAGTGACTTTTTAAAGGCAGACAGAGAAAATGGACATTAGATTTTATAAAACATGACAAAAGAGTTAGGACCATCCCTTTTCCGAGAGGTGGACCAAAGTCAATCTGTAACACACAGACACCTGTTAAGTTTTCACTTCTTCATCACTACTACTACTTCTACACTACTACTTCTTCGCCTTTACTTCTACTTCTACACAACCCACTTCAACTTGCTCCTAGTGAGATATCCTAGGAAGGAAGAGAACGAGAGAAGCAGCCTTTTCTGCAAACGTCTCAGGACGAGAGAACCTGACCGAACCAGAGCCATCGCACCGCAGAGTGATAAATCCCAGCTGACTTCAGAGCCAGTGGCCGGACCTTCGTCCCTCCAACTGTGATCGGTGACTTTTGAGGACACAATCCGCCTTTCAGTCACCAGAGCATCTCAGGCCTGGCTAGTATCATTTTAAGCAGTTGTGGAACCTTCTGACTGCTCATTCTGGTGAGAGACCCTTCAACGCACTTTCTGGTGATCATACATCACAATAATCTAGCTTTACACACTACAGCTCATTTACATACAATTTTAACTACTCCACAAACAACAGTCAAAAAATTGTGCCATTTTTAAGTTTCACTGATTTGAATAACCAATTAGACCTTTGATGCGAAGCTATTTCGTTATTCGTTTGTTTGTTATGCATAATCTTGATCAGATATATCACAGATTATTATTTTTGTAATAAAATGGATAAAATCAACTAAATTTGTGATTATTTTGGCATATCTGTGTGTATTTACTGATTTGATGCCCTTTAAACACGAGAAAAGAATTCACGTTTCAGTTTACATTTAATTTGGGGGTTAGAGACTGATTTTTCTTCTGAAAAGAGGTGGTGCCCACACAACGAGGTTATTTGCATAAAAAAATGCATATCTTATGAGCTTAACTCATAACTGATAATTTACAATATATATCCAACCCCATATCCCTCTACACAATGAAACAGGAGCAAATTGTTGTAGGCAGAATACAAGTGTGTGAAACTCATCCCTGTACAGTAGTCCCTCGGTACTTCGTGGTTCCACTTTAGCGGACTCACTGTTTCGTGGGTTTTCAACCTAAGATTGTAAACGACACGCGATTGGCTGATTGACGGAAGGTGATCAATCAGAGCTGTGTATCCCGGGCGCTGACTGGCTCAGTAACCGTAGCATCAGTCTGTTTGCTCTCTTTCGCTGTGCTCTTTTAGTGGGTTTAGAACATTGTTAGGAGCGTTGCAGGAGTGTGGGAAGTATCAAGCTGCGCAGGCTGATCCTCATCAGGACTGTGGAACTGATGGCAGTGTCCACGAACGGTTGGAAGGAATAAATCTGAGAGAAGTTGTAAACTCAACTTGGCGTAAATAATCAAATTTGGTTGTTTGGAGTCGCCATGAGAGAACGTACTAGCGAGACTTAAGGCAGACACAGAAATGTACGAGTTCAGCCTGACCCCAAAAACAATGTTAATATCTGAATTTGGACCAGACCTTGGAAGGCGGACAATCAATTTCTCCTTGGATGTTATGGAAACCAAGACGCTCCGTCCCCCACCTTCTCCCTTCTCCAAGGTTGATATCGAACTCAACCGAGCTGGCTGATAAACAAACACCTTTTATCAGGACTATGGCGGGGGTGGGGCTCTGGACTGGACTGTGCTACGACCTTCCCTCAAACTCGATGCCTCCACTGATGCAGCAACCTAGGAGATGCAAAGGCACCATGGGCTACGTTGCTCACCAGGCGGCCGTGCTAGGACCCGTACCCGCTCCACACACATATGTATCGTGTCGCTTTGCTGTGGTAGATTTTTTTGATGCCTCAGACTGTGCCCTGTTAAGGACAGGGTGTAGGAGATCCTTTTTTTACATTTTTTTATATATAACTCTCTCCTTATGTTTTCTTCTATAAGGGCAGCACATCTTAGAAGCTGCAGCCCCCTGTACACTTCTGTCCATCTTTAGGACGGCTGTACGGAAATTTCGTTATACTTCACTGTGCAAGGATAATAAAAAGCATTCTGATTCTGAAATGTGGTCCATTTGTCCTCCAGCAGTTTAAGCCTATAGCAGCATAACTAAGGGATAGCTCAGGAAACCCAAGCTGACCCCAACTATAGGATTTATTAAAAAGGAAAGACTTCTTAAAAGTAGACAATAGTTCCACAAGAGAAGAGCCTGATAACTGAAAGCTCTGCCTCCCATCCTGCTTTTGAAAACTCTAGGAACCACACGTGACCCTGCAGTCTTCCTGTGACCATGTGGTTCCCAGAATAAAACCCAACTGACACATTCCTTCTTGGCTCTGAAACAAGAGCAGCAAAATGAAGTCGTCTCTGATCCTGGTGGGAGGATTTATGAGGAACTTTAATTAAAAAATGGCCATAAAATCAACATGTGATCTGACAGTCATGTAATGTTTTGTGCCAACAGGTAAAAGCAGTTCCTGTTTGAGCCACTTGTTCCTGCTCGTCTGAAAGGAGGCGTGGCAGCAGTGGAGAAGAAGAGGACACGTCCCGTCTGACCTGAACGTAACCTAAACCTGGTTAAACATTCAGTTTTTACCTCTTCACCCTCCTATAGCTGAGGTGTGGTTACCTTTAGTATCTTCTTTACTCATATTTCTATAGAAACCTCACAAGTCGGCCTGTTTTTGATTCTTTTAATAAAATGTCAGTACAAAATACAAAGACAAGATACAAAAAAACAACGAACACTTCAAATTTCCTGAAAAAGTCTCCTGCATTACATTAAAGGGAGGTTGTTTCAGACAAGTTTGAGTTTTGTTGCCCCACAAACACTTTGGTCTTTTGTTTACTTGAACAAAAACATCTAAACACAAAAAACACAGCACCTCCAACTTCAAGTAAAATCATGCACTGCGTTTTAAAATGAACCACGTCCACTCTACTGGGATCTGACAGAACTTTGTGTGCAGATTTATTGGGTCTATCTTTACCGTTGGCAACAGTTTCAGAATGAATATTGATCCTGTTTTTTTTTTAACTACGACAGCCTGAAATGAGCTGGAAGCAGAATGGCCGGATGGGTAACACCCCCCCAAGGCTCCTTTATGTTTTCTCTGCCTGTTTGGGGTTTTCATTCATCTTTCCCTCTGGATTCGGTGTCTCAGCCCTCTACAGGTGTGCGGTCGTTCGCAGGGAAGGTGGAGGCGTTGAAACTGACCCGAACATCCCGGGGGTAAAAACCTTGAAGGACCCCGTCCACGACAATATCTGGGAGGCCTGCAAGACAAAGATCAGGGTTTATTTTAACCACGACTACTTGAACCCGTCATGCAAAATTTATTTTTGACATTGTACATATATTTATCTTTCACTTTGTGGCACTTTATTTTGTATCCTTATTGCATGCTGTACTATTTCTTTCTCTCTCTTTCTTAGCGAGTCGAATCGGTTCTTCTCATCCTGAACATTTCATTGCATTCTTGACCTTATGTTAACCTGCATATGACAAATAAACAACAGAACTACTTCATTTTTTTTACAGAACCAGTAAAACACCAAAAGTGTTAAATACACTGAGCTGGAGTTGACGTCCGAGCTGATCACGTGTTTGATTGGGGAAAGACCGAGGTGCAGGCTGAGCACAGAAACCAGACACACGTTCTGTTTATTGCCGGGAGTTGTCTTATTGAAAGTGTCATCTCAGGAGGGGTGTCAAATTAATTTGCTTTGTTAGTGTTTTATACTCATCCACCATCGTCTGCATCCCTCTTTGGTGTAAACTCATTGCCAACTGAAGACACTATGTGTTCTCTCAAGACTTGATCATAACCACACAGAAGGATGTCTTTCAAGTGATGCCCAAGACTCGAGTTAGAAGAAAACAGCCAATTCCCGTGTTCCGTTTCTCATCCGCTCTACAAGGCAGTTTTGTAAAAGTCACCTTGAATTGTCATCATGTCTATAAATTGTTGAAACTGAAGGATGTGAGCAGAACATCTCAAACAGATGTACTCTGAGTTTGGTCCAGCAACTTCCTGATAACGCCATCTGTCCTCTTGTGATGTCACCTCTGCTGAATGTTTTAGACATCGAGTCATTTATAGACCCATCACCGACCGGTCTGAATCTGGACCGGATTGTCTTTCTCGGGACTTAAAGTAAATCTGATAAAACATAAAGAGTCTGTTCTTTCCTACCTGAGGAGCGCTCAGAGAGATAAGGATCCTGGAAAAACCCAAACACTCGCTGATGTGGTAACTCATAACTGTCGGAACAAAAAGTAAAACAAAATGGATCAATGTCGTGCAAAACTACAACAAACATCATATTTCCTGTTAAATAGTTTCCAAGGTTCGTACGGACCTAAACACCGATTTCAACAAGTAAGACTGTCTAAACTTTTACAGGTGTATTTCCACCTCTTTAACATGCACGAGATTAATATGTTCTGATAGTGGGTTGCACCAGGAGCCCACTGAGGTGGTTTGGTTCAGGCATGGACCCTGCTCTTTAGGAACAGAATGAACACGTGAACCAGACCTGAGGAGCAGGCCTCGAGTGTTACACAACAGCTGGACCGTGCAGCTGGACTTGCAGCTGGACCGTGCGGCTGGACCATGCAGCTGGACCGTGTGACTGGACCGTGCGACTGGACCGTGTGACTGGACCGTGCAGCTGGACCGTGCAGCTGGACCGTGCGACTGGACCG